CTCTAATCCAAAGAGCAGTCATGGTTCCCTGCCCTGTGGAAAGTCCAAGGTCCTTCCCGCTCCGTCCATGTCTAGGAAGGTGAACATCCAAACTGGCTAGGCTCCAACCAAGCCAGAACATGAAGTAGGATCAAAACCCCGTTCCATTGTCCTTGGCTTCTCATCAGCCCTCATTGTTCGCCATGATCAGAGAGNGGAGGCAACCTACTGACTGGGAGAAGATCTTCACCAACCCCGCAACAGACAAAGGTCTGATCTCCAAAATATATAGAGAACTCAAGAAACTAAACTTTAAAATGCTAATTAACCCAATTAAAAAATGGGGCATTGAACTGAACAGAGAATTCTCAAAAGAAGAAGTTCAAATGGCCAAAAGACACCTAAGGTCATGCTCAACCTCATTAGCAATCAGGGAAATATCTTTTTTTAAAAAGTTACTGATTCTGATTTAGCTTCTACCAAAGTGTTTCCAGTTTATTTTTACTGAAGAAACAATCTTTGCTCAATAAAAAAAAAAAAAAAAAAACATGAATTCAAATTTTCAGTTGGCTATACATTTATATCTTTATCTGAACAAATACTACTGCATTAACATATAGCCTACTTTAAGCAGTGGATTTTATTTTAATTATTTACTTTGTAGAAAAGTGATACCCATACTGAAAAATACAAGCCACCTTCTTCTTTATCAGATGAAAGTCTTTGGACTTTATCACTCATTTCCTGCTTTTTGCTGAGCTTCTCGGGAGAGAATCTTAAGTACTGTGTAAACCTAGCGACCTGAGGTCAATTCCTGAAAGCCACGTAGAGGTGGGAGGAGAAAGCAACTACACAATGTCATCTACTGATCCTCAGCTGGGTGCTTCGGTATGAAAATGCACATGCGCACACATGCACGCACACACACACACACACACACACACCACGTAGTAGTAGTAGTAGTAGTAGTAGTAGTAGTAGTAGTAGTAGTAGTAGTAGTAGTGGTAGTAGTAAAACAACTCAAGATAGAGAGAGATTGCTCCTTCCTGAGTTAGACTTTTTTTTTTTTCCAGAAAGCTATGGGCTTCACATTAAAACTCACCAATTTAGAGCTATAAACCCTCTATCAGGTCTCTATATTTCACGAAGTGATATCCCACAGCCCTAATCATTTCAGACTCAGGTCTAGTTGATTAGACTTCCAGAGGCCAAAGTTGGAGAATCTTTCAAATAGGCAATCATATACTATTTAACCCTCCCCAACCCTCTTTTTAAAAGAGAAACATCAAAAAAGGTTATGACTGAGAATTTTCCATTCTTCGAATCTATTGCCTTGTGGGCTCAAACACAGAGAAAGATGCATCTTCACATTTTAGGATACGTGAATATTAATTTATTTTGTTTTCTTGAGCATTATTTGTGTTTATTCATGTGAGAATTATCTATCTATTATCTAATTATCATGCAAAAGACAGAAATCTCAACAAACAATTCCTATTCAAGGCAAATGAGTTCCAAAAATAATCAAGAAGATGGATAACAGGTCACTAACAAAAGAAAGAACAGCAAATAGCCTCTAATTAATAGCTAATATCAACACACACACACACACACAGGTTTTTTTAATGATGTGGGCATGAGAAAGAGACATGTGCAAGAACTTTTAAAAGTTCATGCATGCCAAATACCCAATGCATAGAAATTATTGTCTTTGAGATGGGAAAAGAAGAGAATAATAAGAAAAGGGAATTTTGTAAGAAATCTGTACTATGCTATGGTTTGTATAATGACAGCTGTATTGGTCGATGTTTAAGCTCATTTGGAACTTTGTACTCTGTTTCCTGGCAATTTCTTAGGAAATTTAGTTTTTGTTGTTGCTGCTGAAGTTCTATATTTTGGCTCAAGGAAATGCTATTGATTTTTACCATGGAGCTGCATCACAGGTTCCTTTGAAAGCTCATGGCATTGTGCCCTTCAAAATATAGAATGAGATTCCCAGACCTACCAAGAACTTCTAGAGCCCACCTAATTCTGGCTGCTACCACTGTCTGTCTCAAATAAGAATGAATCACTATCTTACAGAAATAGGGGTTAGGCAATGAACATGCAAGAGAGGTCGTGGTATTGGTTTATCCTTTGCAAAAAGTGGAGTAGAAACATCTCTAGAATCTCTCCAAAGACAGTCAGCACTACTGCAAATCACTGACATTGATTACTTGTCTCAATACCACAGAGTGTTTGCTTTGAAATGTTCGATTCAATACAATGTTCTGAGAGATACAGTAATGTTTACATGTTTGATCCATGAGAAATCGCGATGGAATTTTCAATGCTGCTGAGCAATTGAGCCAAGAACCCTGTTAGGGTCAGTTTCCTAGGATGAATGACTCCCCATAGGGGGCAATTAGTTGTTGCTGTGCTCCTAGGATTCCGAGCATCACTCTGCCTTCATCTCATTTGTCATTCATTAATAAATTATGCTCTGCTCTCTAATTATTTTAAGAGCTTTTTCACAAAAACAAAACTCATGTAATTATATGAAAATAGATTGGATAATAACTCTCAGTATTAAATCAATATGTTTGCCTGGATATATTACAGTTTTATGAAATCATATCTATTTGTTGACTCATAAACCACTGAGATTTACTTTTAGTGAACTCTTTTATAATACTGATGGTATGTGAGATTATAAATATTTGTTTATTTGCCGCCACCCAAATTTAAATAGTGTTATACTAAAATATATATTTATATAATTCTCTTCTTAAATTCTCATAAGTTTGGAACTATATAACCCCTGTTACTTTGTACACATCAAAACTATCAATTTATCTATTATTACATAAAAGGAATAATAAAAGGCTTTTTATTATTATTGTTTACAAAAACACTACTACTTACTTTTAAATAATACTTATTAAAAATAGCTAAGTGTCAAAAATGCTATGATAAGCCAAGTTTTTTTTAATTTCTCTTCCAATTACTGTTTCATTATCTACCTATTTATTCATCATTTATAAAAAGACTGTGTATTTATTGGTCAGAGATTCTGTAAATAATAAGTTGGCATTACTAACATAACTCAGTTTTCCCAACTGCCATCATTAATAATGGGCAAATCACTTCACATGGTGATTGATGCACAGTTGGTTTTTAATTCTGTAATTTATGAGTAAGTAACTCATTCAATTACAATAAGTGTAAAAGCCACAGAAATATCTCCCTCTTTTTTTAATAGACAAAAGAGAGAACATACACACATAATGAACTGTAATTTGGAATGGAAAGTTTCAAATTTATATGAAAAACAACTGATACCTCATTTCAATGTTTTAGTGTAAAGAGAGAAGGCTTTAGCTGAAGAATGGAGGAGGCTTTAGCATGGAAATAATAGTTGTTACAGGTCTTCATATGTGGCCAAAGTTTAAACACTGAGAAGTGAGTAGAAATTTGGTAGAAAGAAAGGGGGATGTCAGACTGTATGCAGAGTGAGATCGACTCTCCTCATTTTTTATCCTATACTTAGGATGAGTCTCATACTAAAGCATGGGTGTCTGCTGTTCTTGACCATTTCTTAATAAGATGAGTTCTTCATCCTTCTCTCAGTTAATGATCACTCTTATGTTTATCAACATATTCTTTAAAGCTTGATATAAAGGTTTTGTTAAGTCTATTGCCATTGGCTTTGAAAATGAAGTGTTAAGAGCACCACATCCAAAGCTCAGCTCAGTAAAGTGATCATTAACTCAATGATAAGTTGTTCTCTAGCTTTATAGACTCTTATAACTCCTGAGCTGGATATTCCTCTTCTGATGTACATATCGTTCAAATGAAAGTGTTAAGCATCTCTGATTATTCCTTGCAGTTGGGAGGCAGAGACAGTCAGATCTTGGAGTTGTTTATCAGCCTGTTCCACCGAGCTAGTCCCAAGATAACCAGGGTCAGACAGAGGAGCCATGTCTTTTAAACAAACAAACAAACAATTAAACAAATGAAAACTCTATCTAAGGAGCTTTAAAAATATACAGAAGTGAAACTAACCATCTTAAGGGAATCAAGAATATTGATGGCATTGGTGACATTAGAAATGAGTTGCAATGAAGTACAATTTAGCAGGAAATCCTGTCCAAAGAAAGAAAGAGGAGTAATTCACTTTATTATTATAAGTCAATGGAAATTAAATTCTAAGAAGTATTTTATTAATTTTACTGATAACTCTGAAAAGTTTTTAATGTTATCCCCTCATTCTAGCAGAACAAAATGGGAAATTTTATATACAACAGCTGACACACCTCATGATTACACGTAATGGAATATCCTACAGTGAAAAGAAATGGAAGGAGCTACAGAGATGGTTCTGCAGGTGAAAGCCATCACGCTGCCACCTGACAATTGGAGTTTAATCCTCTGAGCTCTCAGAAAGCTGGATGGTGGGACCAGCATCTGTAACTCTCTCACGGCTACTGAAACATGGAGCTGACTAATAGAAGTTGTTGGGTGCTTAGAGGCCAGATACTGAAGTGTGCAGAGCAACAGCAGAAACGCAAATGGAGAAATCCTAACTCCAGACATAGTGAAGAAAGTCAGTTTCTGCAGAGTTGTTCTCTGAATTCCACTTGCAAATGTACCTGGGTGTGCAAAGTCACTCGTCCCTTCATACACAGTCTCACTAAACATCTATGTTCTCTACCACCTTGTGTCTTATAATTTACTGAAAAAGAAAGAGCAAAAGCCAGATGAAGACATATTTGAGAAACCATCTGTAGCAGGCAGAAGAAAGACCCATGGATTATCATTTTCTTGCCTGTGACAGTGTAAGATGCTGTGCAGACTTGAAAGGAATAACACATAAGCCACGTAGTTCTCTATTAAACTGAGTATGGAGATGTAGGAAAGAGCAGTGAAAAAGTCTTAGGGGAGGACATTCTTAACAATGCTCATGAAAAAGCAGGGAGATACTTTTTTTCAGATTTGATGGAGGAAGGACATTGGTTAATTATAATAAAGAAACTGCCTCGGCCCTCATAGGACAGAAAATTAGGTAGGCGGAGTAGACAGAAGAGAATTCTGGGAGAAAGAAGCTTAGTGAAGGAGTCGCCATGATTCTCCCGCTCCAGACAGACGCAGGTTAAGATCCTCCCTGGTAAGCCAGCTCATGGGCTACACAGAATATTAGAAATGGGTTAGAACAATATGTAAGAGCTAGCCAATAAGAAGCTGGAACTAGCCGGGCCAGGCAGTGTTTGAAAGAATACAGTTTCCGTGTAATTATTTCGGGCATAAGCTAGCCATGCGGGCGGCCGGCCGCTCCTAATTTCAACACACATTGAATCAGACAGTTTCAGCATTGAGACATGACGTCATGAAATAGGATATGTGGAGTCCTGACAATGGTACCCGCTAACGGGTCATGCATAATTGGTGTTAGACAATATTATGACTATTCCTGACAATATTATTATCTTATTGTTTGCAATAGACAACATAATTCCTCGGAAGAAAGTTTAAAATATTTTGTACCCTTACAAAACACTCACAATTCTTTATTCTTTGAATGGCCTAATTATTTTTATTTTATGTGTAAGAGCTTTTCCCGCATGTTTTCCTGGTACATATTAAGATCAGAGGTAGGCTCTGAATCTCCTAGAACTGCTGTTGCACATAGATTTTAGCTGCCAGATGAGTTCTGAGTGGTGCTCTGCAAAAATAGCAAGTGTTCTTTGTAGTCTAAAAAAAAAATCACAAGTATTTAATGTAGATGCAGCCAGAGTTCTGGTATATGTCTAAATTTGTATTCATGGTCCCAAGTGAACACTGAAAAATTTTACTCTGAAACTATTGTTTATTTTTCTGTGTAGAAGTGATTATTATTTATAAGAATTCAGCTATGACTCAATATTAACAGGAGCGTTAATCAGACCATCCTCATTGTACAAATGGAAAAAAATGTGGATTTCAAAAGTATTGAAAGTCTGTTCTCTTTATCGTTATTTTAATTCAGCCCTATGAAATTCTGTCTACTTATAAATCTACTAAAATAAAAGATAAGTATTTGAACAAAGGTGATTGCTCTTTTTTTCTCAAATGTACAAGTGGACCTTGTTAGGAATGTGTACCAGAATCTCAACAAACCATTGTGATGGGTATCTATGACGACCGAATCATTTGCATTCTGATATACACGAGAAATCAGAAGAAAATTACAAAACAAAATTTACTGTTACTTTTCAGGTAAAATGAGAGTAAACTAAAGCAATGTTTCATATAAAACTGCTGTCTATGTTTCTGATGTCACCCTATGTCTTAATTCTTATAGTTTATCCTGCAGATACAATAGTCATTCATTGCTGAAGAAACTCACCTCAGGAATCAGAAAGTCATGTCAAAAGGAGGAAGTGTCAGTCTCTTAGTGGGATATTGAGGCATTATAATAGAGCAATCAAATCTAGGCATGCCTTCTTCACATACTCAAAAACACAAGAGAAGAACCTTGGTCCAGGAAATAATATTTTTCTAGTCAGGAAGCAATTTTTCATACTGAATTTATTATCTTAGAAACATCTCAACATGAAAGTCATAAATGAATACTCTTAAAAGTCTCATCAAAGATGATGCAGAAAAAAACAAATCCTTCTCTTCTTCAGGATATTTTCCCTGCTCTTTACTTTCCAATTTCAGAATAGGCAATAGGCTTTAAGCCCTGGGGCTTGATGTAACACAGCAAGTATAAATATATATGACTGAGCAAGTTCTAATAATGTGTACTTATCTCCAGATGTTATCCGAGAATTAATTTGAATTAAAAAGGAAATCTCCAGTTTTATTTGATGTAACTAAATATGAGAACATATGAAAAATTTAGATTTCAGAAATAAAATATCACAAATCATTATTTAATTCCCTAAAATCTAAAGATAGAGTCAAATAAATAAATCAGTTCTGTATAGTCAATTTTACTTTGCTTTTTATGTATCCTTATATTATAATTTAAGTTTTATAATAAACTAAGGTATTTGTCAGAGTCAGTTTTCAATATTTATGCCCTTGTGTTTAAAAGGGGAAATTTAAAACTTGGAGGGGGAAAGGCTAATTAAAAAAGAAAAAAAGAAGCAAGAAAGTAAAATAGCAAGAGGCTCTAACTTGTGGAAATGAAAGTTTCACAAAACCTGCAGATTAAACAACTATATTTATAAAATAGGAAATGTAAGGAAAAAACCCAAACCGTGCTATAAAGAACCCATCTGTGTTCAATACTCTAAGAGATGAAAGAGAAAGATTAAAGAAACTTACAGTTTGCTTACATTACAGAGGATTTAAGTTTTAATCTTCTTGGGATAATTAGTCATAGTTTGTTGAAAGATTATCAATTTTCTGTAATGTCATATGGGAATTTAAACATTATTGAGAAATAATATGGTAAAAAGAAAACTTTAAGCCTTGAAGTAAAAAGCCCTATCGAAAAATGAACACCTTTGAAAGAGTTGATTATTTTCTAATTTATAAAATTAGTGCTACTTCTCAAGATTAACAAAATTATATGTATTCTAAAATCACATCTAGTTAGAAAGAATCTAAAGATAGCCAGCCAAAAGTTATCTAATAGGATTTTGAAACTTTGCGTTTGATTTCTTTTTATCTTGAGTTCTTATTAGAATAAAAAGTTTTGCAATAGTTTAATTATATTACATTCACCATAACATACTCTAAAAATGTATTTTTCTGTATTATGAAAGTAAATTCAAAATGTCATTGTTACAATTATATTTTCCTTTAGTTTGCATGTTAATTTAAATTATCATCATGCATATGAAGATAATTTTGGATATAATTTCAGATAATATTTTGAAACAAATTAAAATAAAATGGGTTCATTTATTTTGCACCATTGAGAAATCAAATTATATTCAATTAACAAAAATGTTGGCAAAGTTGTACTTGAGACTTCTTATTCAAGGGGTTATGCTATGAAAAGAGAGTTCAAAGTGAGAGGGAAATCAGGACAACCTTGGGCATGTATTAAACATTTATTAATTACTTATTTGTTGTCACAGAGACAGAGGGTTGGCTCTGTTTATGTCAACTTGGCATCGACTTCAGATAACCGAAAGAAGAGAGCCTCAACTGCAAAAACATGCCTCCATATGATCCTGTGTCACGACATTTTTAAAATTAGTGATTGCCTGGTAACAACTCAGTCCGTTGTGGGGGGATCTAACTTTGGGCTGATGGTCCCGGTCTGTATACAAAATGAAGCTGAGCAAGTCATGGGGAGCAAACCAATAAGCAGCACCCGCTCATGGCTTCTGTGTCAGTTCCTTCCTCCAGCTTCCTGCCCTGTTTGAGCTCTTGCTCTGACTACCTTCCATCATTATCTACAAAAAGACGTGTAAGCCAAATAAACCCTTTCCTCATCAAATTGTCTTGGTCATGATGTTTTATCGCAGGAACAGTAACCCTAAGACAGAAAATATATATGTATGTATATTAACATCTTTACAGCATATCCATGATAGTATCCAATAATTAGCCAGAACTCTAATATAATTTCCGAATTTTACTGCAGTCATGCAAATTTTGTTACCTTCCTACATTATTTTTTTTAACTCCCGAATGTATGAGTTACATAAATACTAGTCCTATTTCTCAAATGACTAGCAGGCAGTTTCTTTGGACATCCTAAACAATGACTAACACTGAATCAGGCAACGATAAATTCTTTTGAGATATAAAATATGCAGAATTAGCAATGCATTGTGTTAGAAGAGCCGTATCAGTCTACTAATCACAGAATAAGCAATATCATTTAGTACTGTTCTTGTGGAGAGGAGAGACTATATCTAAGAAGGAGGGAAAGTACGTGATAACAATTGGCAGCAACATGGACAAGATAAAACTTAAGAACTAAGGCACACATAGACATTATTTCCTGGCATGCTGCTTCTTTGATTTGTTTTAGGGTGTGCTTAATCGCCACATCGTTGGATCAAGGTGAGAGAGCGAGCAGCTGCAAAGGTTCAGAAACTCTTTCCTCCCTTACCTGCCACTGAGGAGGAAGCCAATCATCACTGCCAACAAGATGACTCCCACCGTCACCGACACTGCAATGATGGGAATCTGGCTTTGATCATTGGATGCTGCTACTGCTGATAGAAGACACAGAAAAAAGAACTTGTAGTTAAAGGTACCACATGCATCAAAACGTGAGCTGCTTCACAGCGGGTAATTGATCGTGGTTTAAACAATTCACCCGCATCCAGCTAAGGTTACCTCATAATGTCTGTTTTCAGAAAGGCATTTGAAGGAGGAAATATTAACTCACCAAATATAAATCAAAAGCCCAATGCTCACAAATTATTTTCTCTCTATAATAAAAATCAATGCAGATTATACAGTACCACAATTATTTGCACCTTGCAAGGTAAAGGGGAATTTTTGTCTATGACTTCAAACACATGCATGTATACATTGTATAACAAAATGTTATATATTTTATAACAAAATTTTATAACAAATTTTTATAACATTGTATAATAAAATGTTGAATATTTAAGCTTTGACATTTCTAGATTTTGGATGTTGTTCTCTAGGAAAACAAATATATTACCTCAAGAATTCCTCCCTCTATACAGAATGTCTGAAATAATGGTCTCTGACCTTGCTGAAATAAAATGCAAAACCAAAGTCTATATCTAATTTAATAGCCCAGCTACATGTGCAATAAAATGTCACTATATTTTATTAATAGGATGACTGAAAATTATGAAAGTGTCAATTTAAAGCGTTGTGGCTATGATTAGACAAATTTGAAGTACTTGTTTACTACATATTTTTACACATGGATTTACAGCAGTTTATAACTTTATCAATGCAATGGTTACAATATGGTTATGAAAGTCTTAGGTAGTGGTATCTAAATAAGCATGATAAACTTTATGATGTGCTGATACCATCCTATGTAGAAAACACATACAGCAAACTGCTCTCAGTGGGGTACCTAACAGGTCTCGTTAGTCCCAGTGTCATTCTGATGCTTCAGCATAGCACTGCACAGCCTCACAATAATAAACCTGTGGTTTTCAAAGCCTGTAGCAAGTACAGTTTCTGTTTGCTTTTTACCATTCCTATGCCAGATCTTGATATATATAATTTGTGATTCCATATCTCTCTGTATTGTCTTGTAGCTGCCTTATTTCTGTCCAAGATGAGCTTTTTATAAGTACCTCCTTGTCCTGACCTAAATATCAACCAAGTCAAAACATTCTACAGATTCCAATATTTTCAACAGCTTATGAGTAAAATTTTATTTATAGGCTATGGGTAAAGTATGAGTAAAATTCTTTGTAATCTACAAGTCTATGTTCTTACCTTCCCCTTTCTTTCCCTTTTAAAAGAAATGTATTTGTTTTGCTTTTATGTTTGAGGGTATTCTTCCTGCACGTATGGCAGCACACTACATCGGATCTTGGAACCCACAGAGGTGAGAAGAGGCCACTGAATACCACGGAACTGAAGTCACAGATGGTTGGGAGCCACAATGAGAATATTGGGAATTAAACCCAGCACCTCTAGAAAAGCTTCCAATGCTCATTTTTTAATTCTTTTTATTTAGTTATCCATTTTTCTTTGCTCCCCTCCCTTTCTCTCTTCTCTTATTCTACCCTCTCCTGTGACCCCTACACTCACAATTTACTCAGATTTTATCTTTTTCTCCTTCCTATGTAGATCCATGTATATCTCTCTTAGAATCCTCTTCATTGTCTAGGTTCTCTGAGGTTGTGATCTGTCAGGATTGAACCCATCAATGAAAGGAAGAAATGTCTTTTGGGGAGTGATATACCTTTATATCTAAACTAACTAACATTTAACCAAAATTTGAAAAAGATCCTGAATTTACTAGGTGTATGAGCTATAAAAATACTTCGTCATTTAGCCTTGCTATCTTGATTATAGAGCAGAAATAGTTACCCTGAATCACTACCTTTCTGTTAAAATTAGAGCTAATAAGTATAAAATATTTAGTGAAATAGCTTAATTATTAGTGTGCTTACATAGTTTTTTCCCTATATATTTTTTTCTGCTTTATTTACCCTCTTAATTCTAGTGCCAGCATCCTGAGTGAGTTCTATGGAAAAAACCTTATCTAGTGAAAGTCAGTATTGTTCCATCTCTCTGAAACTTTTCTTCTGCTTCAAGGCTATGGATGATTGTGAATTCAATGATTACATCATCTACATATATGCACTACAATAAATAATTTCTCCACTTGAAATATTTAGCTCAGTATTTAAACCATTCCTCCTGTTGCTTTGTTAACCAAAATAAGTAAGTAAATAAAGGTTTCTTTTTTGCTGTTTCCAGTGCTCTCTATAGTGACCCATGTTCTCTACAGTAATCCATGAGTGCTTATATTTGATGAATTCTTTGATTCCCCTCTCTTCTCTCTCTTCTTTTTTCTTTTCCCTTATCTTCCTTCTTGTCTTTCTCGCCAATAGAAAAGTAATCTAAAGCATCAGTTAACAAATCAAAATTTAAAATAAAAACTTAAAAATCAAAAGATGATTTTGTTTTCAATAATTGTAGCTCTCCATAGATGCAATCTGCTTTGTTCAATAAATATTTTCTTTTATGTTGATTGTATTGCCACAGGAAATCAAATATGCTTAAAACTGATGATCAATAGCATTTCTACTTCTGCAGGTTTGAGAAAGTGCACAAGAAAATACACCATAAATCAAACCACCAAGTTATAATGCTTCCATCTCCCGGGTTTCTATTCAATATTACTTAATATTCCTTACTAACTACTTCCCTATTAATTCCTAAATATGTTTGCTTTTTATTCCATATTCATCACATATTTTATCCAGTTATCACTTTGATTCAAACTTGTAAAATGATTATATCTGAATATTGTTCATAAAGTATTGAGAATCTATCATATGCATAGTGGAATTGATTATAAAATGAGATTTTTGACCTCTGTAGTTAAAAAATATCAAAGCTTATTTTGATCATGTCCTTAAAATATTATATATATATATTATATATATGTTTGTATACTTTGTTCCTAGAGTTTGTAGGCTAGTAGAGCATTCAATACTAGTAAAATATACATACATTGAAAACAATTACAATAGGATGGTGCCATAATATATCTTTTATAACAAATCCACCTTAAGATTAAAGTATAAGATTTAATAATTAATTCGTTCTGCAGACTGTATTTTTTCTGATTTTATAAATACACATTATTATATCTATTTAAAAGTTTATCTGAAAGCTAAGCAATAGATTTCAATTTTTATATGTTTAATTAAATTCAAGTCATGCATTTTTTGTATAGGAAAGAAATAGCAATTTCTACCACTGACATCTTTTCTTATAATGTCTCATGGGATAGCACAAGGGAGTCTGTTCAACACTTAATAAAAATTATTTATGTAAATCAATTAGAAATATTTTAAACAGAAGCAATTTGGGTTCCTAGAGGACTATATCACAGAAATTTATTAAATTGTATTGTTGTAATTATTCTAATAATTATAACATTAATCAAATAACTACACTTTTATTTTGTTACTTTTTAACTGTGTGTTTTCTTTTCCAATGCAAAGTATGGTGCTGGGTGAAGAACACACATAAATCCACACACACACATATGCATCTGTGAATGTACACATATACTCAGAGACAGGCACACACAAGCATACACACACATACACACAGGCAGACACACACACACTTATACACTTACATATACACACACACACGACGATTTACACTCCTCATGTGTGTTACTTCCTTAGCAGAAAACTAATAGTACTATCTCCCTTGTCCATAAACAAAGCATGATTTCGTCTTCTAAGTTAGCTTCAATGTATTTGCTTTAGGACAAGTGATCTAAAATCATTTGTTGAAGCCTGAAGTTATGTTTTATGAAATTAAACACGAAGTGGGCACCAAAGAGCATTTCAGAACCATTTCTAGATTTTCCATTCCAAGATTCTGACACAAATTTAATTTTTACTTTAGGAAATCAGATTGGATCCTGAAAGCACCATTTTCTTGTCAAATTCAATGCTAAAGAAAGCTCCCTGTAGAATTTGCTTAGAAAGACTAAAGTAGCATAGTTCAATAAAGCAAGTAAAAAGTAAATGGCAATAATTCAATAAAGCATGGCACCTGGGGGAACGAAGTCTTTAAAAGCACGGCTTAAACATTTCTTAAGATGCCTGATGTAGCAGCTCTCAGTGGACCAAAGCGGGCAGGCGAGCCGGACAGTGTTAACCCACAGACCTACCATTAGAGCATGGCCGAGGCCTCCTACCTGAAGGGGTCAGAAGTGGAGAGGGAAGGGAGAGAAGCTGACAACGAGCCCCGGGAGCCTATCGATCCACAGGCTCTCTTCTGGTAACCATTACAGAGACAGGGGTTGACAGTAATTAAAATGACTTACACACTGGTGTGGTTTCAAACTCAAATCTTCGACTGAAGGCACCGTAGCCTGCTGCTGTTCGTGCTCGAATTTGGAAGACATACACAGACGCAGGCTTCAGGCCCTCTGCAGTAATAGTGGTCTCTTTAGACTTGATAATTGTGTAGCTGGTCTCTTGGTCCTTGGATTGCATATGTAAGAAAGGGGGAAAAGAATCAGTCTTCAACAGATGAATTACTGACAGCAAAATAGAAAACTCATAAAATGGAACAGAAAGCAAAGACTTCCTATTATATGCACACTGAAAACAAAACCAAAGATATCTCTACTACCCCTGAAGCATTTTAGTATGTCAGCAAACGTTTACAGAACGTAACCATTATAATTTGGGACTAGAGAAATGTTTCAGCTGTTAAGAGCATTTGCTGGGGTGTCAGAAGACTCCATGTCAGTTTGCCACACCCACAGGATGACTCCTTACCACCTGTATCTCTAGTTTCAAGGGGCCCAATGCTCTCTTAAATCTGCAGACTCCTACAGTCCCATGGTACACATACATACAGTCATGTAGTCTCTCTCTCTCTGTCTCTCTCTCACACACACAAGAAATAAATCTTTAATAACATTGCAGGAAAGCATTACTCGGGAGACTGCATTTATGTTATGACTATGTGCTTGCTTCTGTAGGAACAACTTCTTGTAATATCCCTAACTTATTTGCTAGCTCTCCAGAATGCTGAAATTATCTCCTGAGTATTCAGATTACATGTAAGCTTTAAATCTTCTATAAATTTGATTTTTAATTAGATTTAAAGCTTATGAGATGAAATAAGTGCTTCAAATAAACTTTAATTTTGTTTGATTTAATCTAAACAGGAATCAGTAAAGAAAATTGCAAAAATACAAGACATGTGTGTATATATGTGTGTGTATGTATGTATGTATGTATATTATGTATATATACATATGTATGTATATATACATTTTTTAAAAGTGCTGGTTGTAGGAGACACTAGCAACTTAGTGATTGGAGGTAGAACAGAACAGAGATTGGAAGATAAACAAAGGAAACCTGTTCCTATTGGAGAAATGATAACAGAAGTTCCCACCCACCCCATGGCCTCTCAATGTCCTAGGACAAAGGCCAACATTTACCATGACACTCTAATCACAGGCTGACATGCTGTTACATTAGATTCACTTTTACCTATATTTTTACTTTGGAATAGGACATGGTGCCTGAGTATCCTCATCAGAATGGGGTAAGAATGAAACAAGGAATGAACATGAAGACGCTTCGTGGATTAATATATATGATCTAATGGATGTTCAACTCTTCCTAAATCTTCATAACGAAGGTGATATGTAACTACTTTCCGATTCACCACCAATACTACCCAAAACATAAACCTGGAAGCACTCATTTTTTTTAAAGCAGCCAATCAGTCTTCATTTATATGTTTCAACACAGCAAATCATCATGAATCTAGGTATATCCAAATTCATCTCTAAATTGGGATGGCCTGATTTGTTTCTAATAGATATAGGTTTTCTGATTCATTCTGCACTGCCATTGATCTTTAGATCTTAATGCACAGATTAAGTACTTAGTCAATGAAATATTGAGGGAATTTTTTGTTATTTTATAAGGGAGTTAAAGTACATAATTTAGTGCTGGAAGATGAATCTGATTCACAAGACCTTATATCTATTGTGTTAGTGCTAGGATAACAGAAGTAAAAAGTTATTCCTTGAGCTGTTCCTCAATATTGTAAACAACTTTTTATGATCCACTGTAGCTACAGAGAGTTCAGGGGATGCTCAGGTTTATGACTGAATAAACCTGATTATATTATTCACTGTTTTTCAATATTGAGCCTAAATATCATCAGTTCTCAGTAATAAACTTTGCAGTTTGGCTATGATTGTAGTAATAACTTTCAGTAAGAAATGTTTAAATATCCCATTTGCTAATATTATTTTCATCTCTTTGAAAGAAGTTTAACTTTGTGAAGAGAAATCTAGCAAAAAACCACTGCTATATTAAAATGTATTTGCTATAATTTCAATTTTCTTTTCTCATAAAAAAGTTTTAATATAAAATAAGATTTTTTTTTTATTTTTCGAGACAGGGTTTCTCCGTAGTTTTTGGTTCCTATCCTGGAACTAGCTTTTGTAGACCAGGCTGGCTTTGAACTCACAGAGATCCGCCTGCCTCTGCCTCCCGAGTGCTGGGATTAAAGGCGTGCGCCACCACCACCCGGCTAAGAAGACTTTTTTAAGAGCACAGGAATATTGACATTAAAATTACAAATATATGGTTAACATGTATATATAGGGCTCCACACCTCAGATTGTTTTTATTTAAAATGGATTTGAAAGTCTATCAATACAAAAGAGGAAAATCACAACACCATAAATAGGCAAATTTGATCACTCAAAAGCTTGTACAGATGAAACTAATGAAGAACAACAATGTAGAATAAATGCATTCTGTAAATATATTGAATACTTTATTACAAGAAGAAGGAAAGGGTATTTCAAAAATACCCTTTTGTTTGATTTTATGATTAGGATATCTTAGTTGTTTTTAACTAGTGTCTGATTGTACTTTGTCTTGCTGAGTTAGTTCAATGCTATATTTTTAAAAAAGTAATTTAGCAAAGAGTATGCAAATTGATTAAAGCCCATTATATATACTGGAATAATCTCAGTATTCTACAAAATATATTTCCATTCCACTTTTTAAACCCCTGAACAGGCTAATGTTCCTCTTCTCACAAGCTCTATATATACCTTGTAAGCAAGTAAATGCACCTGGCTGCCAAACTGTAGATCAGGGCAGGGGTGTTCACGGCACTGGGGCCCCAGCTGAGCAAATGAACTACATTCCCCAGCTGCTTCTTGAGCATCGCTCACATGTAGTGAGGGGAGGGCCCAGCGAAAGAAGCCAGCTGGCAAACAGCCTGTCAAGGGGCAGCTTCCCCTTTTCTTCTGCCTTTAATTAAGAGATGGCAAGAGGCCCATCACCAGACCAGAGCAGAGGAGCCCAATGACCTCTATTAGAACAGGGCAATGGTGGTTGATGTGCCAGCTGGCAAGTGCGCACATCCTAGAAGGCTGTGCCACCTGTGGCTGGCCGAAAGCCATCCAACAAAAAATTGGTGTCACCCTGAAGGTTCCAAATGAGCTCTGGAAATCTCCCAAAACCCCCACCTCAACACGTTATAAAGGCTCATTATCCTTTTTCCTTTTAGAAGTGTTAGGATAATCTTTATGTACATATGAGAATGTTTAGTAACTCGACATGGATTAATAACATTAACAAAGGCAATTTATAACTTCTACCAAGTACTATAACCCTTGTTACTTTTAAATGTGAACCAAGGTAAATTATTATCAATGTATTTTACCCTTAGCATGTAGAAACCACTTTCCCCAAATAAAGTGACTTTCTCTTTAAAAAAAAATAAATACATGTGTATGTATGCACCCATGAATGCTGATGTATGTACAAGTACATGGAGGAGCGCTTTTGCACTTGTGCACATGTAGTTGACCAGAGGGCTATCTTTAAGTGGCATCCTCAGACATGCCATCTACCTCCATTGAGACAATCTCTCGTTTCTTTCAATCTCAAAATCAATTAATGAAGATTGCTGTTCAGGAAGCCTCAGAGATCCTCCTCGGTCAGCTTCCAGAGTACTGGGACTGCAAGCATGCACCAGCGTGCCTGGAAACCATGGGTTCTGAGGATCTTAGAAGCAGGTCTTCCAACATGTTCACTACGTACTTTTCCAACTAAGATTTGCCACGCCTTCAGATTATTTTTCTTACTCTCGGTTATAAAGATAATAAAACATACTAATATACTACTAATTGCAAGTTATCAAAGAACAAATCATGTTGAAACTCAAATAACTAAAAAAAATTCTCCTTTGAAGAGAATGTTCCAGAATATGGATAGCATTCACCAGATATAGTCACAGAAAATAATACTTCCCAAGACACATTTAATATCTGTGCTCTAACAGAAGAAGCAACTTAAAGAATGAAAGAAGCAGACATCCTTGCTCATACTGAACAGTGTACGTAAGGTGGAAAGTGGTAGATAAAGTTAATGTTACTAACTATGGAGGCATGGAAAGGATTTGGGGAGTAAATACATGAATACTGCATATTGGTCTACATCATTAATTGAGTAGAATAAAAACAATGTAAACACACAAGCACACATTAAACTTTTTGTTAATAGGGTTTTGTTGATAGATCATATTTCAGCTAAATTAAATATATATAATCATGTATATAATTTTGGTGTAAAGATAACAATGGTTTCCATTACATATTTTTAGCAAGTTAAAATCCATTTTAACTGCACTAATCACTGCAAATATAAAATTTTTATAGCCAAAGTTCATTTGGTTTCCTTATATAAATGTTTGATTTTAGACAAATTTGCACTGTGTAGAATAGAAAAGGTTACAAAAGTAAATAGAAAATATATTCTTAATTTATAAAGTATTACACATAGAATGTGTTTATATCATCAATGTCTGGAACTCAGAGGCAGTTCTGATTACTGAACTCAGAGAATTGGGAATCAGTGAGGCCACCACATTCTGCCACATTACCTCCAATTATGTTGACAGGAAATACCTGCAACCATGCTGAAAAACAACTTCATCTCAAAGGTGCTCTCTTAGAGTACTTTGATGCATTCAAAACTACCTTTTTGGTGTGGATAACAAGGCACCAAGAAGGACAGCGGGAGAGGAGAACAATAAGAAGAAATTATGATGGAATGTAAATGAATAACACAATGAAATCAGTTTGATTATACTCTAAGGTAACCCAGCAAATTTCACAAGACAGTAAATACGGTTAAAAAAGAAAACAGTATCACCATTTATGTTCCGTATGATCCAATAGCTACAGATAACACTGTCACCAATAATAATTGATAGTATGATAATCCATTAACAAGATCAAAGGATCATCATTGTAGACATTTAAAAGCCTAGCTATAAGATCCAGATAGCTCTCACTAGTTTATATTCCTTCATTAATGCATTATCCTTAACTAAACCACATAGTTAATTGTCGAATTAATAATCAAAAGAAGGCATTTTAAATCTCTAAAAACTATGAAAGTTGTTTGACGACATTTTCTTAGACTTTTTTTTGTATGCACAAGTAATCTTAGATTTTTAAGTAATTTTCATTATCTAATCTGAGCATTTCAGGAGGTAATGAAAAGATCCATCCTCCTTTTCCATGGGAAGGTTTTTAGGAATCACAAATTAAGGTTATGTGCCATTAACATCCAATTTTTTCTTTCCTAAAAGTGAAATGATGCCTCTGTGAGTTTGTAAGAACTATTAAATGTAGCTCACTATTCCACTTTATCGTGATTCACTTGTGTGTACTGTGCTCCTGTAATTTCTTCTCCAATTAGCAAAGTCAGTACATCTGCGTCCAGGTCTCCATGTCGCCTATTTGGGTCTGGCACGGGCATCCATCTAACTTTCTGAACTCTTTTTTAGAACACAGATCATTCTAAAGATCTGCTGTTTAGGTTGAAGCTACCCCAAATCGCATTTTCATAGGATGGAAGGCAGAATGATAGACGGCGAATCCTGTCTTTCAGCAACTCAAGCCAGCATAACGGCAGAAACGATAAACTCACTCTGAGCTTCCAAATTTGATTCTATTTTCAATAGCTTACTTGATTATACAGTCAGAAGAAAGGAAAAGGATGTTAACCTCCTTTAGACAACAATGATTGCATGTCTGTATTGTGTGGGTGGGGTGAGTGTTATTTCCCATACTTTAACAGAACTGTTACTGTGATAGCGACCAGGCATGACTATACATAGTTTTGCTTGTGTGGTATTGCACCCACTACTGAAAATCAAAAGACTGATAATTTACTACATTTTCAAAATCTTGTATGATTTGTCTTTTATTTTATTTATATTTTTCCTTGTGTGTATGTATGTGGACATGTGGACATATGTGGATGAATGGGCATGTGTGTGCGTGCATGTGGATGTACATGTGTACAGAGATCAGAGTTTGATTCAAAGAAACATCCTGATCTTCCATTCACCTTATTAAATGTGGTCGTCTCTCAGTCAAATCCAGAGCTCAACAACATCATTTGTGTCGCTTGCCAGCTGTCTCTGGAGACCCCCTTACTCTGTTTTCTGAAGCAGAAATTGCAGGATGACCGTCACACCCACTTGACATTTATATGGGTTCTGGGAATCCAAACTCAGTTCCTCGCGCTTGAGTGCAAGGATTTTTTTTTAACCAGCAAGTGGTTTCATTAGCCCCCAAATTTACCTTTTAATGTGAAATTAAATGTTAACCTGACTGTATGCTTTATCCAGCCACTCCTGGATGTGACAGGAGGGCTCACTGAAGGCATCTGGCTCCCACAAGCACAACTGAAAAATAGACTTTTTTGATTTACACCCGAGAGTTACAATCTCCTCTTGTAAAAATCAAGAACTGAAGTTGTTAGAGTGGAAAGAAAAGAAAGGAGTTTTATTTTCCTAATCCCACCTTTTCAAAGTACTTTATTTCATATTCCAGGATGATGCCATTGGGGCGATCTGGCTCTTGCCAAGACAAAGAGATGCTGTTCTTTGCAATCTTTCCCCTTTTCACGTTGGTGACCGGCGAGGGAGCTGTAAGATAACACAAATAAATAATAATGTGGTTAATAGAGAAATTAAAACTTTGTGTAATAACTGGCATGTTATGATGTAACTATTAGTACATTTCCATTTATCCTGAAAAATTTATTTTCTCTATGAAAGTTGTTAAAGGATATTATTATTTAAGTTATATAAAATTAGCTACCCATCCTGAGAACCATGTATTATTAATACTGTACCTATCTGGAGTCTTCATATCCCCCTCAAAGGTAGACGAATAGTTTTAATATATTCTTTTATAGAATATAGATTCCTGATAATAATGCTTATATTTTTATAAAAGGTTTTTAATGATCCAGTACACTTTCATATGCCATATTTCCAAAATTTATAGATTCTTGTCCTTGATCCCCTTATTATAATAGATGTGTTATTTGTCAGATAATTATGTATTTAATATTATTTCTCTTTATAATATTTATTGAAAATAACCTAAAATAAATTCATATATAATCCATTTAACAGTTTACATAAACACTTTATTAAATATTAAGTATCTCAAAATTTAAAAATAGAAAGAGATTGAGTTCCATTTCTTTCAATTATTTCATGACAAATCACTCATGGTGGTGCTTATTGCTATCTACTAGAATGCTTGCTAGAACATTATTTCTAGTAAAAGTGCAAAATATATATATACTCCTTCAGGTACATCTAGATACCTGAGTTCATAAAACATATGGAGTTTTGGCCATAATCCATATTATCATAGGCTGAGATACTTTTCGGACTCTATGGAGATGATGAAATAAGGAGTTGATATTGGGTGCATAAGACTATATTTGCCAAAGTGATCATAGCTATGCTTTGTATATTATATAATATTTGCATACGACTAAACCACCCAATGATACATCACAGAAAATATCTTCATTAAGTAGCAATAAGCATATTTAGAAAAAAAAACCACACATATATTTAGTGTTAAAAATCATGGTTAAGTTACTTACAATAACCAACATAGTCTAAATGCTTTGTTAGTATTTGTTAGATGGCAATGATTTAGGTAATCACAAGAATAAAATCTATATGTGTTCAATATACATGCAATTTTCCTTCAAATATTGTCAATACACAGATTGATAGTGGTTGAATATGCATATAAAAACACATTCATATGTGTGAAAATGTAGATAGATAAAGAGACAGATTAATGTGTAGTGGGTTTTAATATGGATATTGTCAACTATAAAGAATTGTGTATAATCACAGACACAAACCCGAGTAGAAACGTGGTAATGTTAAATGTGTATGTGTGTGTACATATTTATAAACAAATACATGTGTGCCATATGTTAAATAGAGTTGTGTACATTAATCATATATAGTGTGTTATGTATTTCTATTTATTTTTTTTAATTATCCAAAAAATCTTTTAAATTTAAATGTTCAGTTTTTGGCAATTTCTTGAAATTGTAATAATACTGGATGTACTTTGAAAAACAGATTATGGAGATCATATTTTAAACATTGTCATATTAGACTCAGTAGCTGTGGGGACACATTTGGACAAGAGTCAGCTTTTTAAAACAGAAATAAAGCTATGGCACTCCTATGTTCAAAGTCGCCCAGAGCCTCTCTCGGGACTCAAGAGAAAGAGCCCAGATGTTCTGTCTGAGCCTCTGAGTCTTCAGGCTCTTCACACTTGGTGTTGTGCTTCACCAGCTCTCAGGCTGGCCTCTTAATCCTCCCCTCTGTACAACCACTCTGTCTACAGGTTAGCAGTCAGAAATGCTGCGAGAACACACCTCTTGCGCACATGTGCATGCACACACACACACACACACACAGACCCTTCTCACACAAACACACATGCACAAATGCACACTGAGATCTACACACTCACAAACATAAACACATGAACACACACAGAAATGCATTGCTCATGGATTCATGGACCCACTTTTCTTCTCCTTCCGGAGGCATCCCTGGCCTTACTTTGTTATAACTCTTAGAGTTACCAGCTCTCAACAATGCTCTCCTCTCCCCTCATCAGCCCTTGTAGCTCTTTTGTGTTCTGTTATTGATGTGAGTCATACGCTTCTCTACAAATATAGTACATTTTTACTTTTCTGGTTACTCCAACTATGATATAAATTTGAAAAGACAGTGGTATTATGTGCTAAAACATTGCGGGATCACTTGCATCTGGTACAGTCTGTATATAATCAGAATAGGAGCCAAAGAGTATGTACAAGTGAATGATTGCTGGCTATATGTCTTAACTTTTATTTTTCTTATTTTTGACCAATGACAAAATTTTAACAATGTTTTTAAAAGAAAATGCTTTAATTTTTCCTTAATATTTATTTAATTCATACTTTATAAATATATTAATAATATAATTAAACTAATATATACAATATAATTTATTTATAATTATTCATATGGTAGATACTAATAATACTTAAGAGAAGAGTATATAAGCTACTTCTCCTTTATTTACCACTGATGGAATGATGGTTTTGGTATGTTAATGTTTACATTTAATTCTTTGAATGGCAGAAATAGTGATATTCAGGTACAAAGAATTTCTGGTCTCACCTTTGTCTTCCTTTCTCTCCATTTTCACTTTAGATTTGATTTAATTTTAAGTGTGTGTGTGTGTATGTGTGTGTGTGCACGCACACCACAGGAGTTCATGTGCAGACTCTAGGGCCAGTGGATTCCTGGGAACAAGACTTAAAGATGGTTGTAAAATTGCCTGATGTGAGTGATGAGAACCCAACTCTGGAAGAGCAGGGAGTGCTCCTAAATTCTGATCCTTCTCTTTAGTACTTGTCTTACTTTTTTGTCCATGCTAGGCTTACAGAATTGCCTGGAATATTTCAGAACCATAGTGTAAATATGCTAAAAAATTAATGTTCATTTGCTTCCTTCAGTTGAAACCATGATTGACAGACAGTTTTAAGTAAAATTCTAAAGTTCAAATTTCCTATGGGTTTGAGTGGGGGAAGAATTATGCGCAGCATTTATATGCAGAAGACTATATGCAACATTTTCAACAAATAATTGGGAAGACTGGGGAACATACAAGAGTAAGCCATGCATTCTCAATCTGCTGCTGGTGTGGGAGGTCCTTCTGTCTTATGTGTTGCTTTTATTGGTTAATGAATAAAAAACTGTTTTGAGCCTATGGCAGGCAAGAACATAACTCTGTGGGGAAAGCTAGGCTGTATGCTGGGAGAAAAAAGGGCAGAGTTGAAGAGAAGCCATGGAGCTGCCGGAGACAGATGTTGGGAACTTTGCCAGGTAAGCCATAGTCACATGGCAATATAGAGATTAATAGAAATGGGTTAAATTAATATAAAATTTAGCCAATAAGAAGCTAGAGCTAATGGGCCAAGCAGTGTTTTAATTAATATAGTTTCTGTTTGATTATTTTGGGTTTAAAGAAGCCGTGTGGCTGGGAACCAATAAACCACCTCTCTCCAACACACTGCAGAGTTTGTAAAACAATAGAAATACATTGAAGGAGTAACAGAGATTTAAGAAATGATTTTTTTCTTGAATAATTTTTAAGACTGATAGCCTTGTGGATTATCTCATAACCACTGTATATTTTGTTACATTGTGCATTAGAAAGAAATGAAGGTTAAAATAAGATTAAAATTCCTCATTTATTTTAGCACAAATATTAATTGTAAGTGATACATGTCTTAAGGATATCAGTGTTCATTAAATAAGCTGATAGATTGCCAACAATCTTTTCAATGTTTTAATAAGCATGAGAACTTGATAAAGATAGAACTTAATTTGGTATATTTACTATAATCTTTATCAGTTCTGAAATTTGCTTACTATATAGAAATTTAATAAACAATGAATGACAAAATAGATAGATAAATGAATCGTAAATATATTTATTGCTTAATATTTGGCAGCAAGTTTATCTTAAATGTTTACATTAGTGTTATATCATTTAAAGATCTGTGGTATTATTGAAAACTTAATTAGTATATTTATAAAATAATAAATTTATTAGTATATTTATAAAATAATAAATTACTTTAAGGTGAAGTTAGGAAATAAATAATCATCCACATGCAAACAGCAAAGATAGACTATTTCATACTTGTATCCATCAAAGTTAACCATAAGCTTCTTTGCTTTCAAAGTATGTTTGATTTATAAACTGTTTTAGTTTTTCAAATTCAGTATTCTTTGAGGTTATAAGTGAGAGGGAGCTACAACAAGGTGAAGAGAGGGAGATGACTATAAAAGGAGAAGGGGGAATGATTGACAATAAAGTCTCCAGAAATAGTATCTATGATATACAGATAGATAGATAGATAGATAGATAGATAGATAGATAGATAGTACATATATATCTGTGAAATGGGATTTCCCTCTGTATTCTGTGGATTCCATTTGTTAATAAAGAAACTGGCTTGGCTTGATAGGATAGAGTAGAGCTAGGTGGGGAAAACTAAACTGAATGCTGGGAGAAAGAAGGCGGAGTCAGAGAGAAGCAATGGAGCCACTGCCAGAGACAGACATGCTAAAACTTTGCTAGTAAGCCACAGACATGTGGTGATACACAGATTAGTGGAGATGGGTTAGTTTAAGATATAAGTTAGCCAGAACTACACTTAAGCTATTGGCCAAACAGTATTGCAAATAATTTGGTTTCTGTGTGATTATTTTGGGTCTGAGCTGACAGGCAACCAGGAAACAAAGAAGTGGCCTTCATACAACATATCTCTAAGGATATGTTTATATCCTTATAAATAAATATATATTTAATCATATATACATCTTAAAGGAATTATACACACATGCACATATATGTATACATATAATCTTAAATGAAGTTATGTTACTTAGGCTAACACACTTCCCATGAGAACCATCTTCTAAAAAATCCTAAATCTCAGGTAACAGAATGATTCTTATTAGCAGCTGCTCAGAGTAAACAAAATGATTCTCAAAAAAATTAGAGATGACCAATGTAGCACTTTGTTACCTCT